GTCTACGATTTAGCACTTCGTCCCATAAGTAACTTATTCACTCGGGCCTTGAAGATATCCAGGTATATACTCTTCAGAAAATACGGATAGATAATACATATAGATAGATATAGATACATACAGATCACAAAATCTTGACATATTTTAATGAAACATTCATAAGTGATTCTAGTTTCTACTAGTAATCATTAAATAATAGTCACTATGAATAAAAGCAAATACTAAGTAATAATAATTCTTTTAGAAACTACGTTTGAAAAAGACCGACTTCAACTCCATCTTTTTTTTGAAGTCGTTTAAATAATATACTAAAACCTTCTCCTAAGTGTACAAACAGTTTTCTGAAAAGCGCATCAAAATCGGTTCAGCCACTTGCGAGATAATTACGCAGAAACATATACATACATACAAGTCGAAACGAGAAAGTTCTTTTGTTTGAAGATGGTTAAATATAACACATTTTTATTGCTATGTTCCAGCACTCTCCCTAGTGGGCATCTCGTCATGTGAGCCAGCCAAAATCATCGGCTCCTGTCCCCCGACGCTGCCCGTGGACATTTGTGATCCAACATGTGGCTCCGAGTCTCCGTGCACCAAGCCTAAGCAGTTGTGTTGTCCTACTGCCTGTGGGGGAGCCATGTGTGTGGACGCTGTGACGCAGAGGCATTTTGTGGACGTAGGTTAGTCGAAGTGTGATGTCATTGGTGCTGGGATAGTGACGAAATTACTTTATTCGACGTATTTATTAATCACAATTATGGCTATTAACTGGTCATTTGGCACGTTTTGCTTAGGAATAAGCAAAGTATTATTAAATATATATATAAAAAAGTTGCTCTACACTAGGATTTTCTCCTGTGTCGTGGGTGCGTTTATAAACATACAAATTCACATACACAACGACATCCAGACCTGAAACAACAATTTGTAGATAACACAAACTGTTGTTCCGTGTGGGAATCGAACTCGCGACACGTTTCACGGCAGCCGGTTGCCCAGCCACCGCACCGACTGTGCAGTCTTGGTCATCATTGATTCCCTTTGGAGCAAAATTCTTTAAAGTAACAAGTACGGGAAAGTTGCATACTTGCTCTATTCTTACAAGGCGACAGTGATATCATACTGGTTTTTGTAAGGTTTTATTTTATCCGAAAGTAACTCATTTTTTCAAATATTCCAGTGAAGCCAGGCCTTTGTCCGGAGCAACCACGAGGAGCTTGGGTGTGCACTGACATGTGTACTACTGACTCCGACTGCCCACGGGCCCTCAAGTGCTGCCCCAACCGATGTGGAGCATACATGTGTCAGAAACCCGATGTGGACCCAGCACAACCAGCCGCTTAGAAAAGTAAATACAATTAAAATAAGTCTGTTGTTTCATTTTCTAAGATATTTACTGAGCTCTAATTGCGTAACTTGTTTATTTTAAACCCAAGAATACATAGAGGACAAACGTCTTACGGCAAGTGTCGCCAGCGACGTTGGGCGAAGTAGCGCTTTGGTCGACATGACTGGCAACATCATAAATAATTTTAAATGTTGGAGAGCCATGCTTCGGCACAAATGGGCCGGCTCGACTAGAGTAATACCACGGCCTCACAGAAAACCGACGTGAAACAACGCTTGCGTTATGTTTCGTGGTGTGAGTGAGGTTACCGGTGGCCCAATTACCCTCCTCTCCAGTCTCCCGAATCCCCGAATCCTTCACAATCCTCAAATCAGCAATCCACTCATAACACACTTGTGACGCCTTGGTGTTTTAGGTTTCTATGGGCGGTGTCGATTACTTACTATCAGGTGATCCGTCTGCACGTTCACCGGCTTATCCCATAAAAAAGTCAACGTCGCATCACTGTGAACATAAGTTGTTGCCATATCTATATGTCAGACGAAATCGGCCCGCTTCGGTCAATATGTCACCGATACATGTCTTGGGAGATTTGTCTCCTAGTATATCCTTGGCTTAAACATCAATATAACTTAATAATTTAAGATAATGTTAAGGTTTTCCAGGATTTGAATTTGAAATTTTTAAAAGATTTCCATTGTGTTTCAATGTTAAGATGTTAATTTTAATCTCGATATCTACTGGTGTTAAACAAGGAACAATCTCGGGGTCAATCTGACAAATATAGGCCACCTGACCAGTCACCACTGAACTTTATATACCCGAACGTAAAACACAGAGCCACAGAGCATAAAACATAATTGAGTGGCTCAATGAGTATCCTACACTGTATTGTGTAATTTATTTAATACACTATTTTATTGTAGAGGTATAAACGAGTAAAAATTTAACAATCAATCAGGGTGTATATGTAGATCGTGTCGAGAGTATTCAGAGGAGATTTCTTAGGTACATCCAGTTTCGCTCTAAAACTTACATTAATAACTATATAGATCGTTGCAAGCAGTTTCACACCCTTCCATTATGTGAGCGCCGTAAAATTGCAGATTTATCATTCCTGTTCAATATAGTAAATGGCTTATTAGATATACCGGAGTTGGTGGACAGAATAGGGTTGCGTGTGCCTTCTGCTTTTCTGCGCAAACCTGTACTTCTCAACGTCTGTTTATAGACAAAATTCATACATGATAAGAGCGTGTCGGACATACGATTCAGAGTGCCGGAGGATTGATTTAGATTTATTTCACACTAGCGTACGTAGATTAAAGAAATTAATGTCTTCAAGTTTCTTTCAAACATAATATCTTATTTCTTTTTGTTTTTCATAACAGTTTTTTTTTGTTTCGTCATATGCTGTCTTTTTAAACTAGTAATTTAATTACCTATAAGCGGAAACTTGTTATTGGCCGTTTATCTATAATTTAATCTATCCTTATGTTAGCTGTAAGTTTTCCTAAAATTGTAAAATAAAAAAAAAATAAAAAATATAATATGCACGAATAATCCAAGCGGAACTACTTCGAATTGAGTGCAATTACCGAGTAGTAATTGCCGAGTAATGACAAACGCCATCTAGTTTTTGCGTACTCAAACTTTACGTTAAACCGAATAATTCTGTCGCGGAGGACTTAACGGGTTGCCGGGGCTCCGGTTCGAAGGACAGGAGTAGGAACGGGGTGGTTTTCAGCCAGTAAGAGTCTGACACTCCCTCCCGCCTTACCCAAGCGGGAGAAGTCATTCGATAATTTACCCTCCTTAAGAAAAACCTAATAATTGTCTTATATACTATGTTTAAATTAACCGACTTCAACCCCGTCTTTTTTGAAAAACGGTTAATTAATATACTAAAATCTTCTTCTTAATGTAATAATCACTTTTCTAAAAATCGCATCTAAATCGGTTCATCTAATCCCGAGATAATTGCGTACAAACTTACATACATATAGGTCAAAGTGAGAACCTCCTATTTGACGTTAGTCAAAAGAGTGCTCGATCGTTTTGTTTTTAGAATCGAACACGCAAAAAGTAATCACGCTGATATTAGCGAATGGACACACAGTCGACTAATATGGACAACTTCAACAAATACTTATAGTGATTCTATTGTGACGTGTATCATGTCATGTGTACGATCGTTGCGCATGCTGTCCATGATTGTGAACTCCAATAGTTACTGGAAACTAGTCGAGCATCTTCTGCGAAAACTTATGTACTTCAATAAGTCATAATGCCTATTATTTATCATATGCATAGCATCTTTTTCTTCTTCACCAAAAGTATTGTTAAAATTACGTCGATATTTCTGGAAGTGAATAACACTATGAAATATTACGCCATTATCGCTACATTAGCACTAAAACTATGTCTAGACGTCTAGTGTTCAGATAAAATAACCTGTTGAGTGTCTGGGCAATATTTACTAAGTACAGTGGCCGGCGGATCTATCTACTCCAATTTGTCAATCTATTCATTGGATTTTCAACTTTATGCCAATACATTAAAGTTAAAGATGTAATAGAGAAAGATGTAACAGAAAAGTATAATTGATCTACTGGTCACCGTATCTAGGGAGGGTACGGTTTTCGAAAGTTAAAAGGATCGATAGAAAAAGTATGTAGTTAGTAGCATAACATGACATAACATCACGCCTTTTATCCCCGAAGGGGTAGGCAGAGGTGTATATTATACCACTGTACAATGTAACACCCACTTTTCATTATTTATGTTATGAGTCCATGTAATAGAGGGGGAGCCTATGGCCATATACTGGGCACAATTCCATACTCCGTGTTACTACTGAGAATTTTTAGAAAAACCCAGTCCGACCCGGGAATCGAATCCGAGACCCCTTATCCGACCCCTTGCGACTATTCGGCCAACGAGGCAGTCAGTTAGTTAGTAGTGTCTTCCATACTAATATTAAGAAAGTGAAGAGTTTTTTTGTAATGCGCCAATCTCTGGAACTAGTGCTCTGAATTGAATAATTTTGTTTGTTTCGAATAATGTACTTATTGATCGGAGGTTTTAATTATAAAACTACGCTACGACCGCTAGAAGAGGAAGGTGGGAGTAGTATGGTATGGAAGAAAGGTAAAAGAAAATAAATTGAAATAGGGACCAGAATTAAAAGACGATTTATAAAAAAATGGGATGAACCAGTAAACGAACAGATGGATCAGCTGATGGTAAGCATTAAGCAATCGACGTCGCACATGGACCCCTGAAACACCAGAGAGAGGTGTTATAATTGCGTTACCGGCTTTTTAGCGATTAAGAACTTGAGCATTGTTGGGGATTCAGGAATTGGGGAGATTGGGAAGGCGAGTAATTTGTCCTCCAGTAACCTCACTCACACGACGAAACTCAACGTAAGCGTTGTTTCACGTCGGTTTTATGTGAGGTAGTGGTATCACGCTGGTCGAGTCGGCTCATTCGTGCCGAAGCATGGGTCTCTCACACTTAAGATTCGTTTATTTACACGAACATTGTAAACAGACTACTACGAATATTGTAAAAAGACTACTCTCCAACTTATTTGTCTGTAAATCACATTATTTATGTCTTACATTTGCGATAATATTATTTTTGTGCATTACATTGAGTGCCAATTATAGATTATAAGTGGTCCACTGAGTGCGTCGAAAATGTATTATTTTTTTATATTACTTGGTAAGTTTATTTTCTACTCTATTGTTGGTACAAAGCTTATGGCTTACTTATTGGTAAATGCTTACTGTAGCCTACGTACTTACACATATACCTCTAGTATCAGAGGTATTAAGTACTGGTGCGTAGCTGACCATATAGGAATTTATTTATTTGAGCCATCAAATTTGAGACGCCTTTCCAAAAATGATGGTACTGAGACGAAACACAGCAACAATTTGTTAATCTGATAATCTGTAGAGTTACATTTAGCAGCTATACTGTACCGCTAAGGAATGATGTATATTTTAAGAAATTTTAGTTCATGTTAAATCGTATTTAAGCAGACTAGCAGATAAGGCCCATGGCATATAATTATTATGACCTGGGATGTGCTGAAGTTTTTGTTCGATTTTGAGTAATTTTCTTATCAGCAGACACAAATGATAAATAAAGAGACTTAAATGTCTGAAACCAAAGAACATCTTTCTGATAATGCATTTGTAAGTATTTATATAAATCATCGAAATAATATTATTTATTAGTAGTTGCTGTTAACAACGCAATACAAAATTTCAAGATAACAAAGTGCAGATTTACTTTCTCATGACCTTCTGAGTTTAAGACTGATAAGTTGGTATTAAATGCAAAAAATGTAACTGTATCAAGCGAGAATTAAACTTGACTCATTTGTTATTAAGATACACTAGCAAAAAACATACAGTTTTCATAATCCATATATTTTGTGTGTTCCAGCTCTGTCCTTAGTGAGTATCTCGTCATGTGATCCAGATACAACCGGCTCTTGCCCCCCAAGCTTGCCAGTGGACATTTGTGACGAAACATGTGGAAGTGAAATTCCGTGCTCCAAACCTAAACAGTTGTGCTGTCCTACAGCTTGTGGTGGAGCCATATGTGTCGATGCTATGACGCACAGGAATAAGGTAGATGAAGGTTAGTTTTCGGATATCAAATTAAAATTTTTATATAATTACCAGCCTCTGCCCGCGACTTTGTGCGCGCAATCGAGTTTTCTCCCGTTTCCGTAGGATTTTCAGGATTTTTTTCCGCCATAAGAACCTTCTCCTGACAATAACAAAAACAACAAAAAAACATCAGCCATATCGGTCTAGCCGTTTTCAAGTAATGGCGTGACAACGGGAAACGGGTTTCATTTTTATATATATAGATAGAAAAATCACTAGTGAGTCACTAGCGCGACTATTGAAATAGAGAATGAAATGAAATTAGACCACCATTGGGGAGCGATTCACTTGCAATTTCTCTAGTGCTGCTACTGATTCATGTGCTAGTTCTGTCCTCTGCTCTTCTCCCACTAAAAGAAACTGAATAATAAAGTAAACAACATTATTTTTTTAAATATTTCAGTGAAACCAGGTCTTTGTCCAGAGAAACCTCGTGGTCCTTGGATCTGCACAAATATGTGCACCAGTGACTCGGACTGCAGACGTGTCCTCAAGTGCTGTCCCAACCGATGTGGAGCATTCGCCTGTCAGAAACCTGATGCACCACCATCAGATGGTTAAACAATTCTATTGGTAGAAAAGACGTGTGTTGTTTAGTTTGTGAGATGTTATCAAACAAGGTAAAGAATTGTTTTTATGATAACTATTGTGAGACATACTAAATTAAGTAAAAAGCGCGAGTCACTCACGTGAATATACTGAGAAAAGCTCTACTAGTTTCGACAGAGGGGTTCTTCCGAGTAGGCTATGCGATATCGCCGCGACCGCGCACGATGCTCATGAGATATTCACGTGAGTAACCCGCGATTTTTAGTTAATTAAGGTGAAGAATACTTTTATAAATCACAAATTGAATTTAAATGTTAAAACGCCTGAGATATGTATTGATTTTATTAATATTATTGTAGTGGTAATGGTCGAGTTAGATCTACAATATAGGGTGTTACTGAAAGTATAGATTAAACACAATGGGGGCAAGAGTGTTCAATATTATGGTCGTCCATGCTACAAGATACTCGAATCTTAATAATATTCTAGTTCAGCTCTTGAACTGAATTAACAATGCTTGTTCTAAATTAACTGCCTCTAGGGCTTAGTTCAGTTAATGAAGTGTCAGTTAGATACAGGCAATACAACAAATACTTATCTATTAATTAACATATTTAAATTTAAAGCATTTATAATTTCAATATGTTAATATGAGATAAATTTTACAGCAGTGACATATGACAAATAAGTTACTTTTAATAATATAAAAGTACAAGTGTAATGTTTCTACTTGATGGCATTTAATTAAAACAGTTTAACAAAACAATAAATCAAAAACATTTGTAACTATTACAAGAAGAAGGATTTTGATAAATTATAATCGTAGCAACCTGCTACGCTCTCCGTAGCAAAAGCCTACGCGGCTACGGCGTAGCTAATTCACTCCATAATTCCTTGTTCTCTACTTTCAATTTCACTCTAATGCGTTCCTGTAAAATATGAAAATTGTTTTTTCCAACATTACAAATGTGAATTTTTCACTTAAATTATGATTAAATAGGAAGTTTAAGTAAGATTTGTTGTTCGAAATCTCGGTGTAAAGTTTTAATAAACATTGTTTGGCAAGAAAATAATTGATAGAATTTGTATTCGTAATATGATGCGATAATATATGTACCTACATATATACTACTACGGATACTGAATTTAAATAAACAGGTATTTATTTAAATTCTCTTCTACACAGTGTCATGTATGTGGCAATTTATGTGATGTATAATAATTTTAAAATAAAGTACTGGTTTTGATTTTTTATAATGTCCAATGTCCATGGTGTCCTTATGGTTAAATTTAGCTTAGTTAGGTAAGTATTAGATGCTAATAAACTGAACTCGCTTATAATGACAGGCCTGTTAATCAATTAGTAATATTAAGAATTTCACATACAATACTGAAACTTACTGAAATCTGACATAGAATCTAACATGTACTTTACTTCAAGAACAGACGCAGTTCAACTAATTCCCTCTTCCTACAGACATGATATAAAAGTGTCGTTAAGGCTTAATTAAATTCTTTCAAGCACCCTGTTAATGAGTGCTTGAGACGTCAAGGGTCAGTAACGTTAGAGAATCTTATTAATTTTGTAACAGGGTGCTCTCACTCTCCAGTGTATTACGTGTATTAGGTGGCTCTAATGAAAGTGTAGCTCATACCTAATAATGATGCCTGGGATTCTTTAAAGAGGAATAATGCCATCAAAAATTTCCGAATTCCAAGTTCCACAACATAACATAATATAACATCACGCCTTTTTCCCCGAATATCACATTACGGTACGTAATGCAACTGTAAAATGTAACACCCACTTTTCACTATTTAATAAGGGCTGGACCTATTGCCATATACCGGGCACAATTTCATACTCCGTCCTACCACTGAAATTTTTTTAAAAACTCAGTAATACTTTGCCCGATCCGAGAATCGAACCCGAGACCCTTTGCCCGGTAGTCGCACTTGCAACCACTCGGCTAACGAGGTAGTCAAGTCAGTCACCGAGGTAGTCCAAGTTCCATTTAAAGAAAAAGGAGAAGGAAAACGATTATGCAGTCAAAATATTTTTTTCTCAACTCCTTTTCAAAGTCATCCATTTATAAAAGTTCCTTATCAATACTGGTGCACACATCCCGTATTAATTTCAGTAAAATGTTTAAAAGCTATTCAATGGAATTGTGATGATGTTTCGGTATGAAATATTCGGACAATCAGTTTTAGCTGTCAATAAATTATTTTCTGTCAATATTTTTGAACATTCGCAGATTCTTGTATTTATTGTTATCACAATCAGCAACTAAACAACTTTCTTTAAAATTCAACATTGATACTCGATAAGAAGAATACATAAATATTTGAAAAGAAATATACAAGGCCTAGTTAATATAAAGTGCAATAAAGTGATTAGCTTCAAGCGCCAAGCTTCCTTGTACTAACCGCTAAGGAATGGAATTCTTTGCCGGAATCTGTGTTTATTAGGTGTCTTCAAGTCCCGAACGAACTGGTTGCTCATAGGTAAGCATGCTCCATTGTCGGGCACATCATCACTTACCACCAGGCGAGATGGTAACCAAACGTCAACCTATCAAGTATAAAGAGAAGAACAATTTCAAGGTCATAAACATAAGTAGGTATATTGAAGTCTCTTATCCTCGGAGACTAACATTGATATGCCGTTATCAAAACATCATTCTAGTCTCAGATTTACGACTCAAGTCTCATAAACCAGTATCAAAGCAAAACCAAATAAACAAATAAATATTTCTTACAATTCCTGGAAATATATGAATAATACTTGTATATCGACTGATTATTATGAGACTAAGGTATTCCATTAAGAAGCTAACGTGTACCGAATTCGTATTTTATGCCTTTGAAGTTAAAATTCATAAAAACATTACCAATGTATTTTCTCGTGGCGAACGAAGAGTTTGATTTTTTTTTTAGATTAATATATTATGCTATTAGTTTTCAAATTGTTGCGTAGATTGGTTTTGTATTTTATTAATAGTGTGACAGTATTTTAAATTTCATTGACTTCTCATTGTTATTTGTTTTCCCGATGTAGTTTGTTTAGTATTAATTATAATTGACTGAATAAATTGTCTTAAGATTGTCATATTAGTTTCACTTTGGTTGTATGGATTGTGTATAGCAATAAATGGATTATTATCAGAATGTAAGAGTTATGGATACTTATGACAATACGAGAAGCAGTTCCAGGCCAAAAATACGAGGCATATGTAGTAGTAGAATTGAAAGTTATAATTGGTTTTAAAAATACCATATTAAACATATCGTGCGATAGACTACTCTCATCGTATACTGATACGAGGCAGTAAACCAGAATTTCTCTTTTTGACTAGCCACAAAAATTAACTAAAAATCGCGGGTTACTCATATGAAAATATTGAGAAAAGCTCTATTAGTTTCGAACCACAGAGAGGTTCTTTACCATGAGCAGCGTGCGCAGTCCGGGCGACGTCGCACAGCCCACTCAAAACAGCAAAAAATTCAAAAGCATTTATTCCAATTAAACCATAATCTGAATACTTTTGAGTCGTACCAACATGCCGCCAAGCATTCGTATCTTCGATAATCTGTCAGTTTGTAATAAACTTTGATTTTATTCAGTCCAAGAGTGCGTTGACAAACACCGCTTTTTTATGGCATAAGCCAATAAACGAGCAGACGGATCACCTGATGGTAAGCAATCATCTGCAAGACATCTGGAACACCAGAGGCGTTACAAGTGCGTTGCCGGTTGCCTTTTGGGGATTAGGAGTTTAAGAATCGTTGGGGATTCAGGAATTGGGGAGGACGGGATTTTCGCACACTTATTGGAATAATCAACAATACAAAATAGAGACCAGACAACAGTTTTGCAGACAGAATTGTAAACACAACACGATTAAACCCAGCTGGACCACCACAAAAAGTTTCGAAGAAAGGACTCTCAAAGCTAAATGAGTTGTTCACTTACTTGACTACCTCCTCCTACTACCCGCTTACTTGAAACACATTTATTTACTTGAGTTACAGCAAAATAAATTGATGTATCGACTTTTTCCATTAGTGAAACATGTTCGGTTTCCAACACCTGCGTTTAATCACGGGCCCGCCTCGGCACGATTTAATTCAGTTCATGACGGTTTTAAATATATTCCCGCGTTGTGTTTTAAATCGTTTTATTTTTGGTTTTACAGCGATTTTTTTTGTTTTGATTTGAGGAGGATGTATTTGAAAGATATTGTGGTAGGATGAGGATACGGACTAGTGGGAACTTTAACTTTGGTTTATCAAAAAGGTAATTACTAATTTAAAAGCTTTTATAACTAAAAAATTTTCGTAAATGTAAATGATAACTAATAATTATACTGGTAGATACTGCTTCGTTGGCCGAGTGGTCGCATTTGCGACTGCCGGGCTAGGGATCTCGGGTTCGATTCCCGGCTTGAGAATAGCATTATTGGTTTTTTTTTAAATCTCAGTAGTAGCACGGAATCTGGAATTATGTCCGGTATATGTGCACCTCTCTTCGGGGATAAAATGCGTGATGTTATGTTATGTTATGTAAGTACATACTATTGACTATTACTACAGCATAGGTAATAAATACGATACAATAATAATAGTGTAAGCTAAAAACGATACATTAACCTGAAAAACTGAAAGAAAATCTAAAATCTCCTATAAATGAAGGCTTTACTTCAGACATCGCGTCGGCGCGAACATGATCAAGTGCCGATATATCATACAGCCTCAATTACCTCCCACAGTATCGGTGTTTCGATACGAAAACTTAATGTTTTGTAGCCACAGGTTTATCGTTCGTATTTGATATATTACGTTGTATATTATTGTATGTTTTGTAATAGTACACGATATCTTATCTGCTTTATTCTGTAAATTAGGCAGTCAATTCAGAGTAGATGTAAATGCAAAGCTGACTTTAGTCTCGTTGTTATTATAGACTAATTTATGATTCGTCATAGAAAGATTGATAATGTTATAATATAATAGTGGATACCTATACACGACTAGCCCGACCCCTTTTCTTAGTTATAATTGCACCTAATATAATATTATGACGTAACTTTTTTTTTAAGAGGGGTAATCATCGAATGACTGCTCCTGCTTGGGTGAGGCGGGATGGAGT